CAGTTCTCCTCCCACTGTGGGGTGGAGGTTTTGTTCAGAGATCTCCATGACAGATGACATTGAAACTCCATCCCCAAGGTCCCTGCCAGGTTCAGAAGAGCTTCTCAGGACAAAAAAGCTGATGGCCAAAAATCTGTTGAGTTTTGGGGATGTGAGCTGGAAGATGAGGTTTGAGTGGGTCTGAGGTGAGTGAGGTGATGGGAAACTGAGATTTGTGAATCTACAAAATTTCTGTCCCAAGACCAAAGGTGACATCAGCACTTCTGCTTGAGGATGGCTAGATGAGAAGAAAAATGCTCAAAAACTGCCTTGTTCTGCAAAATTTTAACCATCRTTCAAGTTTTTCCATTCTGAACTGACACCTGCAGTCCTTCTCCAGTGTCCTGGTTTCAACCAGGAGTGAATTTTTGGCAGTAGCTGGAGCAGGGCTTGACCAAACCCTAATATGATTTGAAGCCATATTACACCATTGCTGGGGCAGGGCAAAGAGACTCTCCCTCTTTCCTGAAAAGGGAATTTCTTCTCATGGAGCAAGCACAGCAGGCAGAGCAGGGGGTAATGCTGGTCCTGACCTGAGGGACTTCTCTTATTTGTATTGTTACTCTTAAACTTCATTTTCTTATCTCATTGCTGTTTGCAGCAAATTGTTCTTATCTAAACCCAATTTTGTGSCCCCAATCTCCTCTTTGTGGGGGACAGAAGAGGGGAAGCAAGTGAGCTTTGTTTAATTTGTGTAATTCTGGAGCTTTGGGGAGCAGGGCACGAGATTGGGGAAAACCATTAATAAACCACAATTAAACAACCAACTGWAAATATCACAAAGTGCAAAACAGAGCAATGCCAGTGCAAGATTCACCAAAAACCCAACAATTCTGGCACAGATCCCACAAACCACAAACCAAGGACTTTTTGTACTTGTTGCTGCAGCCTGTAAACACCCCATAATCAATACTGTGATTTTTCTCTATTTTTAGACAGTTTTTAATTTTAATGCCTGCCTGGGGTGGTTATTTTKCYACTCAAATCTYRCAGGTTTTAKGCAAATCCCCCAAAACCTGCATGASTAGCACCAGGTAAACACAGACACCTGATTTTGGGTGAATTTGCAGGAACTGAGCTAAAAACAGCAGAGTGAACCCAACTGCAGGARCACAAAGAATCCCCACCCCGTGGGGAAGGCACAAACCCAGCAACACCRCAGCACACCTAATAAAACCCTCTCCTCCCTTAAATCTGCCTCATTTCTCACTACATATCACWATCAGGCTTGGAAATTTTCCTCTTGGGAAGGGGAAAGGGATCCCTCTGGAATTGGCTGTTTTCCTCTTTCCCATATGGCAGATAAATCAGAGTTCCTGACTCGCTGAATTCCTACTTTACATCCTTCTCTCAAAGTTCTCTGGCTCCTCCTGCTCTTACTTTCCTCCTGAATTTATTACTAAAATGTAAAATTCCCCATGAAAAACAACTCTGCTGAAAAAAAATAGTAAAACAACATAATAATAAAAAAAAAACAAAAATAAGAAAACAAAAATAAGGTTTTCCTTCAGGCTTTCTGCTATCTGAAGAGAGTTGTYCCTATCCAAATCCTGAGCCAACACACTAAAAATTGAGATGGAAGAACCCACATTAATCACCACAATTGAAACATCTTTCATTTGCCCATTTGAAAGCAATTTTTTTGGCCACATTTCCAGATTCAATGATAAAAGAGAAGTTTGAGATGTGTCCTGGTGATTTATACCAGCTCCAGCCAGTTTGGGAGTTACAATGGGTTTCAAATTCCTTTAGTGATGCTTAATCCTCCCCACATTCACCAGAAAAGTAATTTCAAAGTGAACCCAACCTGTACTTTTATGAGAAAGGGGTAAAATCAGACTGAGGAGATGTTMATCACTTCCTCCACTGTGTGTTTTTTTGGTTGAAGGAAGGTCAGCAGCAGAAATCAGGGCTTAAAGGGCAGCCTGGGGGAAATAATTCTGCCCTTTTTGGCTGCTTTTCATTAAATCTTCCAGAGGAGGAAAGACTCAGAAGAAAAGTCTCRAAGAAAAGATGCTCTGCTGCCCCACAGGCCCAAGGAAGGCTTTGGATTTTCCCCTGGGACACCCCCCACCCTAAATAAAACCATTTCWAGAGCAAACCAGGCACTTTTGCAGGATATTTGCACAAATTGAAGACGCCACTCCCATTTTCAGTGGCCAAAGATTTYCCTTTGCTGCTCCAGGAGGGAAGTTGCAGCCAACAGGGTTTTATTTTCTGTGTCACCTGCCGGCTGCCCTGCTTTTGGCACGGATCAAGCACATTTGTCACTCTGTCAAGCCCTAATTTTAGTGATCAGGGCTGACTAAAGGACTGTGAAACCCTTGGTTTCATCTCTGCCTTATTTTAAGCTCTGCATTTCGTTTATTTTTAGTTGGTGACCATTTCTCTGCATCCTCCCGCTGGCTGTGCCAAAATTCTGCAGCGATAACAGCCGATATTTCAGAGTATTTTCACAAAAATATATCTGTGTTTTCCTCCAGGCTGCTTATGCCTTGTAGAGCTCTTAACAATATGTTATCAACACTTGAGCTTTAAAACAAGGCTCCCTGCACAGACTGATTTCTTTAAAAAATAAAAAAAAAAAAATGTAGTTCCTCCCTGAAATGCTCACTGCATTTAGGGAAGGGTTGACACAATTTAAGTGTAACAGAAAACAGCAGAAATTCCTCCAAATAAAGCCACACCAAGGTCAGGACGCACCACATCCCGCTCAATTAATGCACATAATTGCACAATTAATAGATATAATWGGTTAATTAATATAAAATAAAGCAGCCTTACTGTTAGGGGGTGCTCAGGGAGCCACTGCCCTGGAATTGTCCTCCCACTGCCCCGAAAATGTGATTCTGTGGGTAGGGATCAACCTGGGAAAGCAAAGATGGAATATTTGAATATTGAGAGAAAATGATGAACTGAGGAAGTGAAATGAGAAAATGAAACATGGAGCAAARGGTGAAGGCCTGCACTAGGAAAGGTCTTGTGGCAGTGCCAGTGAAGCCATGGTGGGCTCTTAATGCACTTTTTTTGAAGGGTGATGGGGAAAATAGGAAGAATCAAGGAAAACCTAGGTGGGAACATCCCCTGGAGGTGAAAGCAGGACTGAGGTCTGAGCTACATCAGGGGTTTTCCCAGCAGGTTTGAACAGCTCCAAGAAAGCACAAAAACCAACTCAGATTTGTAGAGGTCGAACCGAGCAGTGTCCAGAGAAGGAAGGAGTGCTTTCTGTCTGTCTGTCCGTGGAGGGGGAAGGTCAGCACGGTCCTGTCCCGTCCTTTTTGTCTCCTGGGCGTGGTGAAAGCTCAGCACGGGGTCCCACTGAAGGCTCCTGGTACAATCTAGGTCTGGAAAGGAGAAAAAAGGGGAAAAAAAGAATGAAACAGCACCGCTGCTGCCTGTGCCCCACTCCACATTGGCAGCTGCCATTTTCCTGGTTAATTATAATCTTTGCTTGAGTGTAAATGTGGTTTTATACCCGGGAACTGGGAACAGCCACTGCCTCAAAAATGGGGGAGCTCCCAGACACTCCCAGACACTGTTTAATTAGGAAAAGTCCATCCATGTGTTAGAGATGATTTTGCAACCATCACAAACCTGGCCTTTATGAGACTGGGATTTCAAGGCCCATCTCAGCAGTTTCTGTGCAAAAATGAAGATGGGCTGAGCAAGGATCAGCTCAGCCACTGGCACACGTGGGTGTTTTGTGTCTGACTGCAAGAAAGGGAACACAAGAGATAAAATTCACCAGATCTCTCAATATTTATCATCACCTCCAGCAAGCCCCTCAAATCATCAGCATCCATCTGATAAATGTCCCTCAATATCCATCACCTCTATGTCTATAAACCTCACCTGAGATCTCCAAAATATGGCTGATAAATCTACCTGGATATGGATTGCCTGGCAGAGAGCTCCTCAGATCTCCAATATCAATCCCTTATATATATACATACACACATATATATATATATGTGTGTGTGTATATATATATTACAGATATTTATAGTCCAATACAGATCCCTTGATACTCATAACCTCTGCCAAGCTCCTCCAACCTTCAGTCTACCACTGATGCATCACCTTGATACAAACCAACCCAAACAGCTCCTCACCAAGGTACCAGCTGTCATATTTCTGATTATTTGTCACCTGGCTGGAGCTCCTCAGATCCCCATTATGTGCCCCACACATCTAATACAGTGCACATCATCTTCAGGCAGCTCCTCAGAAAGATGTCCCTTGATCCATGTCACCTCCAGAGTGCAAGAGATAAAATTCAYCAGATCTCTCAATATTTATTGTGAGCCACTCAGATTATCAACATCCATCTGATGAATGTCCTTCAACATCAATCACCTCCAGAAATGACCTCAGGTCCCCAGGACACACCTCAGGGACGCGTCTCTGCCGTGCTCCACCAGCAGAGAGCTCTGTCTCRTGTGGTGAGGTCAGACAGGAGATCATCTGAACAGTTTCTCCTGGTTTTAACTCCATCCCAAACCTGCTGCAATGACAGCACACGCAGCTTTGTGCCTTTGCAGCAGGTGTCCATCACCCCAGCCAGGACCATGGTCCCAAGGGGTTTTATGGAGAATTTTGTATGGGAAAAGCCATTTCTGGAAAGCTGGCCTAAGGTCACTGCCCAAGGAGAGAGAAGTAAACGACTATTTTAGGTAAAAACACGGCAGAAACCTCCAAACGTGGCAAACTTGGTGAAAGGGAGAAAAGGAAAAGGCCCCTCTTGGCTTCTCAAACCAGTGGAGCTCCTGCCAAGACACTGAGAGACCAAATCTGGGTTAGACAAGGTGCTCAGAAGGGCCTGAGCCCCAAACTCTTCCACCACAACAGCAGGTGAAACATAAAGATTATTATTGGTAAAGAATTAATGTTCATGCCTTGGAGGAGCACGAATGGGCTGGTGCCAAATACAAATCATGAACCTGGGATGTGATTTTCATTGAATTTGTCCCAACATCACAATGCAAACGCTCAAATTTTGCACCAGTTCTTCATCCCTGTAAAGACTTTTTAACACCCTGAAGGAAAGACTTTTGTCATCTGGGTTTGCTGTGAGAAGAAAATGTGAGGACTGGAGGAAAAGGAGCAGAAATAGAGCTCAGTCAGAGTTAAAAGAGCTCTGATAGTCTGGGAGACTGATTTTCCTCCTCGAGGTGGTCAGGCCTGAGCTCTTGGAAGCTGCGTTCACGAGGGATAAAAACATCTGCAATTCCTGCAGAAACGGTGCCATTTCTGTCCCCACCACCAAGAGCACCAGGAGCCAACCCCACCAGGGACATCTCCCTGAAAGCCCTCGCAGAAAGAGAGAGAGAGGAGTCTTTTCGAGCTGGCACACACTTGGAGCAACTTCAAAAGGCGTCCTTTGAAGTTGAGCAAAGGCCTTTGAAGTCCTCCCAGGCGGAGGGAACGGAGGAGATGGCTCCTCCAAGACGCTCCACCACYGGCAACGCAAACCGGGAAGAAACGYGGCRTCCCAGGTGCTCCTGGTGGAKTTCAGCACTCACCCGAGGGTCRGGAATGAGACACCGTTCCTGACAAGTCATCAATCCCCCCAAAATGCCCTAAATCTTGATCAAGTCAGCCCCAATAGCGTCCAAGAACAGAGAGGGGAGCCCAGCGCCCTGGGACGTCAGTCTGTACCCGGCTGCCAAGAGCCAAGGGCATCCCTGTTAATAAAGATTTAATGAAGTGCAAGGGAATGCTAATAAAGCTGACATTTAGCAAAATAAAATCCAGGATTTTTGAAAAAAATAAAAAAAATTCTAGGATTTTAAAGCAAGAAGGCTTTTCCCAGCATGTCACAGAAACACAGAATCACCAGGGTTGGAAGAGACCTTCAAGATATTCCAGTCCAAYCCCTGCCCMACACCTCAACYAAACCACRGCACCCARCACCACATYCAATCATTTTTTTAAACACATCCAGGGATGGTGACTCCAYCACCTTCCTGGGCAGACCATCCCAGTGCTTTATCACTCGTTCTGTTAAAACTTTTTCCAGATACTAAACTTATCTAACCTATCACTTCATTTCTTCCAAGGTGAGCAGGCCATGATGCTCCCAACCTCATTGTGCCAGCGCTGTTTAACTGGGGCTATCATTAATAAATTTAATGCCAGCTCCTCTGACCTAAGGGGAAACCACAAATGGTGAAATCCTCAATAACACCAGGTTTTGCTKAATTCTTTTCACACCCCAGACTATGCCCAGCAGCAAGCTGTACTGGCCTCAAACTCCACACGCAGGGGGACAACCAAAGAAACCCTGCACGTGTGCTAAACAGTGTAAATGCAGAAATCAAAACTCAAATTTCACTTAACCCTTTAAGGGGCTCCAAGGGATGATTGTGGCTCTTCAAATACCTCACAACATCCATTGCCATCGGCAATGAGGACTTTAAAAACCTTTGATGTGTTGGGCTTTTTCCCCCAAACAGCAATTTCTCCAGCCTCTGGATAAGGGCTGGGGTCAGGTGTTGGGATGCTCAAAGGGGCAAAGAGGAATATGGCATTTTCATTCCAGMAGTGAAACTGGTGATACACAAACCCCACCCTTTCTCAGAAAGATTTGAGACATGCCCACACACTCAAATATTTCTGTATTTCTGTGAAATATTTGCAGAAATTCTGCAGAAAAAAGCTGCTTAAAGGCACGACATGGGAGGGATGAGCC